CTGCTCCACGCCTCCGGTGTAATGCCACCATGGAGGACGGAATTAAAGAGCTTCTGAAGGACTTCAAGTACCGGTCTTCCACCCGCTTTCAGAAGCTCCGCTGTAATTCCATCCTCGCCTGGGGCCCTACCGTTTTTAAGGTGCTGGAGAGCCATCCTAATCTCGCTCAGACTGACATCCGGGATATCTTCGGAATAGTGTCGGATGAGACTCGCTCTTGGATCGTTACTCACACTTGCGTGTGGCTCCAACGATGATGTGTACAGCTGCCCATAGAACCTCTCAATCTCACTCAAAATCTCAGGTGTCCCGGAAACGATGCTGCCACATTCTGTCTTCAGCTTTGACAGTTGGCTCTTTCTGGCAGACAGATCTCTGGCAAAGACTTTGGAGCCTTGGTTCCGCTCGATCGCTTCTTCAATACGAGCTGTATTGAAGTTGCGTAAGTCCCGCCGCATGCATTTGGAGATCTGTCTGTTCAGATGCCTGTATGCTGTCAAGTCTGTTGAATAATGTAGCTTCATCTCCCGTCTAACAGCCATGAGATTAAGAGTGTGATCGGAGAGTTTTTGTGTTCTTCTGCGGCGGGTCTTGCAGAACTTAGCTCCAACCGCATGGACAGTTTCCACGAGCTTGTCATTCATATCGTCCACTTCATTGCAGTCTTCCAGGCACTGAAAACGGTTTTGTAACTCGAGCTGAAAGGTTTCGGGACTTTGGAACAGAGCACGAGGGGGACGGAGCGTTGACTTCATTAGACGAGACCTCTCCAACTTAACGTTTAGGTTCAGTGTGCCTCTAACCATTCGGTGATCGCTACCAGTTTTCACCCTCGCGATCACGGAGACATCACTGAACAGTTGTCGTCTGGTCGTCATAATGAAGTCAATCTCATTTTTTGTGGAACCGTCGGGGCTCGACCAGGTCCACTTCCTGTGGGGCCGCTTCTGGAAGAAAGAGTTCATCATAAAGAGTCCCTCTTTCTCCATGAAGTCGGCCAGCTGCTGGCCCCTTGGGTTCCGTTGCCCTATTCCAAATTTCCCTACTTTCAGCTCACCGTTCTCTCTTGTGCCTAGTTTTGCATTGAAGTCTCCCATTAACACCGTATATTGGGTTTTGGAGAAATGCATGGCTCTAGAGATATCCTCATACATTTCCTCCACCTCCTCATCGGGGTGTGCCGAGGTTGGTGCGTAAACCTGTATGACCTTCAGCGAATACCGTTTGGTGATTCTGAGTATAAGGTACGCAACCCTCGTCGACACACTCCCGATTTTTACAACGTTGTTAACGAGAGACTTGTGGACGATAAATCCGACACCTCCTTGGGACAGATGGTCGCCCTCCCGGTGATAGAGCAAGTTGCCGGATTCGAGGATTACCGTGTCCTCCCCCTCTCTTCGGACTTCAGATAATCCTATAATATGCCAGCGCAACTTGTCTATCTCTTCTTCCAGCTCCACGATCTTCTCGTCAGTCCTCAGGGTGCGTGCGTTGTACGTTGCCAGGTCGAGTCGTCTAAGGTGGCAACCGAACCTCCACCGGAGATTCTTAGCACCCCCTGCCCCGCCGTTACCATGGTCGCCACCGTAGCCAGGAATAGCGGGGCCGCCGGGGACTGGGGGCCGTTTTTTTGTTGCTCTCATCATTGGGGGGTATTTGCCATAGTTGCCACGCTTGGCGAGCGGGTTGGCAACCGCAGTTTTTTTATTGTAATTTGGCTATTATCAGGAAGATGCTGCTGCCCATCTCCTGGCTGTTTCCCTTTGTCGCCTTTTACGACACCCACGGGAGGATATGGGGTAGTGGATATTCTTGACCGCCACTACACGGCATACTACTACACAATATAATGTACAAATGTATAATCATCGTGAGCCGTCGACTTTGTAAAACGTATTACGTACACATCACAGATCTGTCATATTGTCATAATAATCAAATTCTGTACGAATTGATCCGCATATTGCGTATGAAGGTAAATTGATTTCGACGAATAGCCGAGAAAACTTTTTCATTTGCGATTTTTGGACATGATTAATTTACATATTAATTAACGTGGTAGAGTCACATAGCAGCTATATTATTACACCCAGTACTTCCGTATAATAGCAGCTTAATGCTGCTGTGTTTCGTATGATGTGTGTAGAGAACCGGAGACCCTTTTTACTGGAAACGAGGCATTCCATCTCAGTCGTCAGGGATGACAAACGCATCTGCATTTTGTTTCTTAATCTAGAATAAATGAAGATGTCTATAGGTTAGAACATCCACTACTATCAGTTCGAGTTTGTGCTCGTTTGCACTTTCATTCCATAAAAAAATCATAAACTCATGGACATATAACTAACATAGGTTAGCAACTCTACTTATGTTTCAATACACTTTTCCTCTTAAATGTTTGTGAAAAATATGATTTCAAAAATAGTTTTACATTTAGGAGTTATATAAGAGACGATAAAATATTATTCATTGTAAAGGAAACAATCGTTTTAGGGCCCACTAGAAATTTTTACGTAACTTAATGGTCTTACACATAAAAAAGAAACCATTTTATTATAGTACCTAAACGGCCTAAAGATTTTATGAAAATCTAACCGGAATCATGAAATCTGAAAAAAGGAGTTCTTTTGATATTCGTGGTCTGGCTAATGTAATATGAAAAAAAAGTTTGTTTTTAGGTTATTGCGATAGTCATATTTAATTGTTAATTTCGCTGTATTCCCGTTAGTTGCGGAAAAACTAATATTAATATTGTAATCTATATTATATTATAAGGAATAAAAATACATAGGTTTAAAGAATTTATTTTCAAAAAGACAAACAATGCCACTTACATGAAAATAATTATTACATTTTATTAATTTTATTCTAATGGTCGCCGAACACTCACTCTACAGCTTCACAATCTCAATTGAATGGTGAAAATTTTTCCTTTATATATTCAGACAGCTGAGACTTAAAACTATTGAATGAGCTTACATTTTATATATTACAAGGCAATTTATTATAAATCAATGCTCCTTCAAAAGTAATGCTTTTTTTTGCGTAATTTGTTCGTACTTTTGGTAGTACAAGTAAGCTAGGTCGACGAAGACTGCGTTTCAAAATTTGTGATTTCTTTACAAAAGACAAGTTAGTGTGGATGGTTTTATCAAGTATTTTCCTAATTAAAATGCTTATTATATATATGTAGTTGTTGAACGTTCATAAGTTTTGTTTCTTTGAAAATTTTACAAGTTGGTGTTAGATACGGATAGTGAAAAAGTATTTTTATTATTTTATTTTGTATCCTTTGAAGTTCCTGTAACTTAGTTTTAGCAGCGTTGCCCCAAATTTCAATAAGATAAATTAAATGTGATTTTATTAAGTTACGCTACAATTTGTGGTGGGCCCATTCTCCATACAAGAAGAAATTGTCTCCTTTGCACAGGTTATTGATAACAATTGAACTAAGTTGTACTCCAAATAATATCAATTCTCAAAAGTGCATTTGCATGTGCAAATTACATGTCAAACTTATTTAGTAATGAAAAAATAAAATTAATCTCAAAATTTGTTACAAACTTTTTACAAAATTAACTAATCGCAGAGCAAGTCAGTGGGCCGTCAAGCGGCGACACACTCGGAGCGGGGACTTATTAAATTTACCTAGGGGGCGAGTGCAAACAATGGCACTTTATCTTGAACGCAGATAATGCCTTGTTCTCCACTTTTGCACAATGGATTTCGCCTGGCTACAGACAGTCCACAAGGCGTCACCCGCAAACTTCGTCTCGCACTAAACTACTCAAGCACTCCATTTTTAAAGGGTAACACTTTAGGGCTTTAGTGGCCCGTCCGCAAGGGCTATTAAGTATTCTGTGCCAAGGGACAGTTACGTGAAGAAATTCATTGAAATATATCTTTTTACTGGAAACGAGCCATTCCATCTTAGTCCTACGTCCACGTATCTGCATTTTGATTCTTAATTGAGGATAGATGAAGATATATCTACAGGCCACAACATCAATTTACTATCAGGTGGACTGTGTACTTATTTGTAAATTCAAATTACAAACAAAGGTGAACGGCAGATTTTGTACCGCATACTTATTTTGTTATTTTGTTATAGAATTTGTACCACATATTAAGGCAACTAAACCATTTATTTTCATGTTTGTGTACTACATTTAGAACTTCGGATGGATTAATAATATCAACAAAAAGATTGTAATAAAAAATGTAATATAATCATAAACTAAACACATTTATGTTTTTAGAAGTTGCCATATGTAAAATAACATAAATATCGAAATGATAATTAATTATTTAGAAAGAGAAATAATACTATATATATTTACATATATTATACCTAAGAGTGCATAATTGTTGCATGAAATCATAATGGTTAACGATTTAATTATAGGAATGATTTTCGTCATCAATATTTTTTTCTTCATATGGCAATTATTTATTGACAGGTAAAGAAAATGTGTCTTTCAGTTCATCTAGTTCTTTGCTGCTGTTTTGGATTGTGGTTTATGACTACGATTACAAAAACAAAGTATTGTTTTATTTACCTACACTCAAAACCCCATCATAATTTCATCATTATCAAACTGTTGCAGTCCGCTGCTAGAGAAAGGTATCTCCTAATGCACCCCGACGAGTAGGTACGATCTTCATCTCAATCTACCTACTTAATGGCAAGTAAAACACTACAAAGATACCGACAAGCAATCTAGATCATTTACTTTGTCACCAAAACAATGTTTATGTGGCTATATGTGACAATCTACGTTGGTACACTAGTACATAACCTTAAAAAATAAAACTGATTATAACTTTTACGTCCCAAGTTTTAAAAATCTAAGAATTTAAAAAGGGCTTGTCTATCCTACTAATTACCAATTAAAACAGAAAATATCCCAAAACATGAAATTTTATTAGGTGTACGAAATTCCCATACAAGCCTGCCGTTCGCTTTTATAAAATGGATTACAAAATGAACTACTCACCGACCAAATCGCCGCGATATATGTGCGATGTATCGACATCGTGGATTTCACCATTGGATCCTTCGACCTGTAGAAAATTTTAAAATTAATGAAACTTTTTTTATAAAATTTTATTTATTTATATAAAGCTAATGGCTACGCTTTTCATTTCGTATCTATGTAAATGGCCGTAGTCACTTGCAGCCAACTAATTACAAAGATGACAGCATGTTGAAAAGCAATTTGAATATTATTATAAACAAAATATTTATCATAAACTAAAGTGTAAGGGAATTCATCATCCACCCATGGGTGTCGTAAAAAGCATCCATGGGAAATCCAAAAAAAATCTCATTGCTTTCAATAAAAGTAGCCACCCCGTTTACGTCAAACTTAAATGTCCAAGCTGGCGACGACACATTTAAATGAACCGACTCAAATAAAGAAGAAATAACCTTTATGTTTATCAAAAATGTAATAATTTCTTTTACGTACCATTATCAATAGGTTTTATATAGCTAAGTAGCTTAAAACTAAAATGTTAAGTGTTTGAGGTTACGATTTTTTAGGGATGACGGATTTTACTTTTATTTGTAAAGTTTGGGGAAGCTGTTTTCCCCCCATCCATTTGTTTTGCTCTTTTTGCAGCCAAGCTTTTTAACAAGCGGATGCGGATGCTTTATTTCTGTTGTAACATTGGGGTGGTACTCAGTCGGTCCCTGCAATCTTTTTCAGCTATACAATACCTACTTCGTTCTCATTAAAATTGCTATTGAAGGAAACTGTAATTGAAGTTTGCTATTTATATACAAATAATTATAATACAAAATGGCGATCGTTTTTGTAAAATAACGTTTTTATTAATTGTAAATAAGTAATATAGCTGAATATACTTAAGTATAGGAGTATATATTAATATGTTGTATCAAACAATGATGCACCTTAAAATCCCGGCTGAAGGCGGATAGGTCTCTCCTTAGTCGTAGATGGAAGCGACGGCCGTGTGCGTGGAACGCTATCCGCAGTTGTGGCGCGTCGGCAGAGCGGCGCGTGCGTGAATGTTGTGCGTGAATCGCGTGCGCGTCGTACTGTAGCGGTTCGTAATGTTCCACGTAGTCGCTTAGGCGGCGCGATGCTGTAACAATTTAAACATATATTCTATAAGTTATGTGATCCTGATAAAGTAATGATACATAATGTTAGAAAGTAAGATATAGTTAAAAGAAACCTTATATTAAGAAACAGGTCGTTGGATTGAAAGAAATTCATAATTGTTGTAATCTCTTAGTGTTCCGCATTGCTCATAAGCTTTTAGCCACATTAAATACCCAAAAAGAAAGATATTTTTTTTTGGAAAGTTTACAAATATTTCGCGCATCATGTCAAGTACATTATAATATATAAGCAGTCAAGCAGAAGGAGCAGTCTTTTTAAACTGCCACCATTTCTACACGAATGTTTTTTGAGTTTTTCCTTGTTTAGTGAGGAGTTTAATCACCGCGTTTTTTTAACAATGTCAAGCCAGTCGTTCCTGTCGCCTATGACTAAAGAATAAGAAGTAATGAAGTTATTAAGACGAAATTTGATATTTATACCCTCAGGTGGTGTCGTTAGCTAATGATTTTTTTTTAATTACTTGCATTATTAGCAAATCACCCTAATAACGAGAATACATTGAACGCCAGTGCGTTCTGAAAACCGTAAAATATTATATTAAGAATTGCGTTGACAACTTAGTATAGATTTGAAAATCCGATTGCAAGTTGCATTGCATTGCAATCGAATGTGGTAACGTCACAGACCATTGACTCTGTGTATAATTTCGTTTTTCCACGGTTTAGTTAGATGTTACCTGATTTGAAATTCTTTTCTTCTATTATAAAATATTTATTATAAAGCAGCTTAATCTGACTCGATAAGTAACTAAACTGCTACTTATGGATTATTTCATTTCATGACAAGTCGTTTTTTTTAAGGTTCCGTACCTCAAAAATAAAACACGGTACCTTTTTTCTTTGTTAAAAAATATGAAGTTGAAATTAATATCCCCATATACGAGGGCGGCACTGAAAATTTCGGGAATCAAGGAAGTGACACAACATTACTATTTAAAAATGTATTTATTGCTTTTCGAAGTATTCTCCGCGAAATTTGACACATTTTTCCATACGATGGAACCAATCATTGAAGCAACCATTCCATTCGGAAGTTGGGGTCTCCAAAATTGCCGTTTTGTAGGCGTCCACAGCTTCTTCAGGCGATGAAAATCTCTGTCCACGCAATTTATTCTTTATTTTAGGGAAAGTATAAAAATCATTAGGGCTTAGGTCGGGGCTGTACGGCGGATGGTCTAATAATTCTATGTTTTCTTGCTCTAAAAACTCTTTTGTTCTGTGTGCGGTGTGAGACCTCGCATTGTCATGATGGAGGATGATGCGGCGGTTGCAGTTCTCTTTACGGAGTTCAGAAACGACCTGTGGCAAACAAATGCTAGCATACCATTTTGCATTAACCGTTCTTTGTCCCTCAAGAGGAATAGTCGTAACATGGCCGGTTTTGGAGACAAACGTGGCCACCATTTTTTTGCAACACTCCGAACGACAATGAACGAACAATTTTTGTTGGCTTTAACTCATTTTCGAACACCCAAACTCGTGACTGGTTTTTTGTTTCGGGTTCGTACGCGTATATCCAGGATCCGTCACCTGATACTATGTTGTATACAGCATTTGAGGATCCTGCGTGGAATATTTCGAGAGTTCTGACGCACCAAGTAACGCAAGCCGCTTTTTGCTCTTCACAGAGCGAATGCGGTATCCATCGGGAAAACAATTTTTTTACACCTAATTGTTCATGCAAGATTATTTGTATTTGACTCATGCCAATGTCTAAAGTTGCCTGAATTTCGCGGTATGTCACGTGTCGATCTTCCTCAATCAGCTTACGCACAGCATCAACGTTTTCTTGGGTGACTGCAGTTTTTGGACGACCTTGACGGGGATCATCACTGAGCTTGACACGTGCACGTTGAAATTCAGCAAACCAACGATAAATTGTGGTTTTGGATGGGGCTTCATCACCAAATGCAGAAATCATCCGGTCAACACACTGTTTTTGTGTTAAACCACTTCGAAAGTCATAATAAATCATCGCTCCTGAATTTTCTTTTTTCTCGAGTCAATTCCATTTTCTCAAAGACTAAACAAGTTTGACAAAACCTTGTGACAAGACCGAGAATCTTTTTTTAAATAAATAAATGGTATTCGATTTTTAAAACCAAGGACTTTTCAATTAAAAAGATTTTAATGTGACAGGAACAGTGGAAATATTCCATTCCCGATACTTTTAGTGCAGCCTATGTAACAATCGTCTCGAATGCAGACTCGACGACTTCCAGCTTCCCGAACAATCCAGTTTCTGAAAAGGCTTAAGCACCATAGACCACATACATATCCTTCGGCAAATTATACAGAAGTCCGAGGAGTACAATTTGCCACTACGTCTGGCGTATGTGGACTATGAGAAAGCCTCTGATTCCGTCGAAATTTGGGCGGTCCTGCAGTCCCTTCAGCGGTGCCAAGTTGACTTTCGGTATATCGAAGTGTTGAAGTGTTTGTACAGTAGGGCTACGATGGCTACCCGAGTACAGAACCAGAGTACGAAACCTATCCAACTGCAGAGGTGTAAGATAGGGTGACGTTATATCCCCGAAACTCTTCACCGCTGCATTGGAAGACGTTTTCAAGCTTCTGGACTGGAAAGGATACGGTATTAACATCAATATAGTCCTTATGGCAGAATCGCTGGAGGACCTAATTCAATGACCTCGATAGTGCTTCCCAACGGATAGGTCTTAAGATGAACATGGACAAAACAAAGATCATGTATAACGTCCATGTCACACCTAAGCCGGTAGTTGTTAGGAGCACTAAGACCGAAGTTGTTGACGAGTATGTTTACGTAGGACAGATAGTCCGACTTGTTAAATCCAATTTCGCCGAGAGTTCAATCGACGTATTCAACTTGGCTTTGCAGCGTTCGGGAAATTACAACGCAACAACCAGTGCGTGTTGCCAGTAATGACCTATGGAACTGAGACGTGGTCCTTCACTGCTGGCCATATGAGGAAGCTCAAGGTCGCTCAGCGAGCTATGGAGAGGGCTATGCTCGGACTTTCTCTTCACGATTACCTTAGAAATTAGGATATCCGCAGTAGCACCAGTGACCGACATAGCCCAACGGATTAGTAAGCTGAAGTGGCAATGGGCCGGCTATATAGCGCGAAGAACAGACAACCGATGGGAAAAAAGGTTCTCGAGTGGCGGCCTCGTACCGGCGGTTTAATGATAGGGAAACAGCATTTTCTTAATTCCGTAAATAATCCGTAACTAATCTTACGGAGGTTACAAAGCCTTTGGTAAACGTGGATGTTATGAAATATATAGGTATACCCATTCATTCATTATTACAACCCTTCATAAGTTCATTGCTGAACATAGGCCTCCGCCAAGGAACGCCACCTGCATTCATCAACTTGCGTGTCTTACCAGGTCATCACGCTATCTAGTGAGGGGTCGCCCTACACTTCGCCTACCTGTAGCAGGCTACCTCTCGGGAACCTTTTTTCCCATCAATCGTAGGTTCTTCAAGCTATATGACCGGCCCATTGCCACTGCAGCTTACTTATCTGTTGGGCTATGCCGATTACTCTGGTTCTACTGTGGATATCCTTATTCCTAAGTATATCACGCAGTGAAACCCCGAGCAATATGCAATATGTTTCTCTTCTCTTCTCCATAGCTCGCTGAGCGACCTTGAGCGTTCTCATATGGCCAGCATTAATAATTAATTAAATTTCGTTAGCATTCTCTTATTTTAAGATATAGCAAAAAAGGCAGAGTTCGGCATTAACAGAGGACAGTAACTGTACAGAAGCGTTCGCACAGTGGCACCCGGCAGAGTGGAATTAAGATTTAGTGGCACTCGAATTGGCCTACTTGAATAGAAAATACGAGCCATTTCAATTCTTAAACCTATTTTTATCACGCTACATCCAATTGCAATACAAAAACTTTTTTTATTATACCTACTGTAAAAATTTATTGATGTAAAATATTATTTATCCGACAGTAGAAATATATTTACTATAGGTTAAATAATATTTCACTATTGGATTATTGATTTCATATGGTCCTCGAAATATTTCATTTTTCAGACATGCCGGTTTCCTCACGATGGTTTCCTTCTTACCCGAGCACATGGTTATCGGCACCTATAATTACTTTTTACAATATCATTGGTGCTCGCGTTCTATAAAACTTACGACGAGCAAAGAGGGAAAATGAATTTTTATTTCAAGTTAGTAAAAAAAGTTTAGAAGTTGTTTTTATGTAACAAGCTATTTATATAATCACAAAAGTTATTCTTGAAGTAAAAGGTATTTATTTATTTATTTAACTTGAACAGACTTAATTCCTGACACATTCTGCTACACGTACTTGTATACATTATTTTAATGTTAATTGTGGGAGCTAAAAAAAGAAATCTGAAAAAATATGCGCCATATTTGGATCTTTCATTTTTTTATTTTAGATCAAAGTAATACGACTGTGAATAGATGGCGTAAGAATGTCCACTACCCCACATCATCCCGTGGGTAGCGTAAAAGGCGACAGAAGTAAACAAACCAGGAGTTGGGCAGCAGCGTAATCCTTATAATAACTAAACATAAAAAACTAAGGTTGGTCAACCCGCCCGCCAAGCGTGGCAACTTTGACAAATATTCCCCTTATGAGGCAATCTATGGGAAAAGCCCATGTTCAGCGGTGGACTTTTCTGCCGACTTCCAAAAAGGAGACGGCACTCAATTCGACTGTATGTTTTTTTTTAATGGTGTTATTTCATAACTTTTTACTGCCGCTTTCTATGATTCTTTTTTTATTTGAAAGCTGATACTTCTCGTGTGGTCCCATATGAATTTGATCAAGGTCAGACCAATAGTTTTTGAGTTATTCTTAATAACTTATATTGAAGTCAGCTGTACAAAATTTTTAATTTTTAATTATAATAGTAAAATGTTATAATGTCTTCAATGAAGAAAATTTTTAATATAAATTAACATTTATTATACTAGAC